GTGCAATCAGTTAATCCCGCGGCATCTTGCGCAACCAGATACCACGGAATGAACCAATCAGCCCGGAGAGCTGAATTTTTTCCATTTGACATTTCCATAGGAATATTTACGAAACGTTCATTTTGCTCGTTATCGGTAAAATTGTTTTTTCTATTATCTCATTTCTCGATTGCAGTCGAGTCTCCAATGAACGCGAGCAACGCGCTCCACATCGACAGGATGTCGAACATCTACAACAACTCGGTGGTTCGATTTTACGACTACGTCTTCCACGATTTATCTGGTATACAACCAGCTCTTCTTTCACCGAAATTTCCCTGTACATCTTTCATTGTTGGAACGTCTCGTTTCAGATCCTCGGACGAAAGACTGGTTCCTCATAGCGTCACCGGTACCTGGTGCCAGCATTCTAATCGGTTACCTGTATTTCGTCCTATCCTGGGGACCGAAGCACATGGAGCACAGGAAACCGTATCATTTGAAGAATATTCTAGTCCTTTACAACTTTCTGCAAGTTATCCTCAGCTTCTGGCTGTTCTACGAGGGATTGGACGCAGCCTGGCTGCGAAAGTACAGCTGGAAATGCCAGTCTGTCGATTACTCCAATTCACCGGAAGCTCTCAGGGTACGTTTACACCTCTAAACGATATTCTACTTCGTTTTCTTCCAGTTTCGTTAAGTACGAGTTTATCCTAGATTGCTAGAGGGGTCTACATTTATTTTCTGGCAAAAATATCCGAACTCCTCGACACGGTTTTCTTCGTCCTTCGCAAAAAGGAAAGGCAAATCACATTCCTCCACTTGTACCACCATACCGTGATGCCTATGGTTTCCTGGGGCGCCACCAAGTATTATCCAGGAGGACACGGCACTTTTATAGGTATAATTTACATTTTCTCAACGATCACTGTAATCTTAACCACCAACTCTCTTGTTTCAGGTGTGATCAACAGCTTCGTACACATAATCATGTACACGTATTACCTGCTAGCAGCCTTGCTACCTCAGTACCAGAAATACCTGTGGTGGAAGAGGTACATCACGACTCTTCAAATGGTAAGATTCACGATCGAAAGTTTTATCGGTGAAAAAGAGAGACACTTTCTACGTTCGAACAGGGTCAATTCTGCCTGGCGTTCCTGCACAGCTGTCAATTGCTCTTCTACGACTGCAACTATCCGAAATGGTCGCTGATACTGATCCTGCCGAATTCGACATTCTTCTACTTCTTGTTCGCCGATTTCTACAGTCACGCGTACAAGTTCGCCGACAGGAAGCGCTCGAAATCGACGGAGGACAAGGAGAACGGAGTGGCGAAGGGGAGCACGATGCAGAACGGGAAAGGGAAAACGGACTAGTCCGGGCATCAGCGGTGGAAGAAAAGAGAAAGAAGGAAAATCGAGCAGGATGTATTCGCGAGTCGTTGTCGGCTTTCCATTCGGCAACGAGGCCGAAGTGGAACGTCGAGGAGGATCGATCGTTGAACGACGAATTTTTCAACGGGGAGGGAAAGGTGGCTGTGCCAACGATTCTGCGATTTTCCAAGGTTTTCGCAAGCTTACGAAAGTCGAACGGGCGTGTTTGTTCCCTTGTGTGCTATTCCGATGGGAGAGATATTTGCTCAGGTGAATCGATCCTTCTTCTTCTACCCCTGATTGCTCGAAAGAGACGGTCTTCGATTCTACGCGCTAATTATGCCTGTAAATCGAGACTAAAACGATCGGATTTTCTTCGAATCACCTTCAGTTGCGAGTGTTTCTTCTATCCTCTGTCAACTGGAAATTCTCTCTTACTTTACGTATCAATTTCTTCGTCGCTTGGCCTTCCATTGTTGCAATATACGTCGGTCCTCGGTACTGTTCGTCGATACTTGAATACAAGCAGAACAAAATCACCGTCCCACTTGGAGTGCATTAGGGACGAGCGGATAACGAAAGGTCAATTACCCCCGATTAACCATCGGTCGTAGTAGACGCATCGTTTCCCGCAATCACGCCAAGAGACACACACGGCGACCAGTGAACTGTGGCCAACTTTCTTTCGCTCCCGTATTACTCAGAAATACGAAGGCGATTCATAAGGAGAAACGCGGCCGGTGTCTCTGAAATCTCGTATCCCGAATTCCCGTTAAAGTGCCTGTCAAAGCGTGGCAACTTGTTTCGCCCTTTTCCGTCCACAGATATTCTTTTCTTCGTTTCACCGGCTGCTCTTCGAAATCGATTCGTCGATGCTTATTTCTCTGTACGCTTCGCTTCGAGGTACCCTCCGACGATTTCGAAATCAGGAGGCGTTGATTCCTCTGTTCGCAGATTAACGTAGTTACGCGTTGCGGATAACGAATCCACGTGGTTTAGATATCTCTCGGTTTAACGGGTGAGTTGATTAATTATAACGGGTAATCGATAATTGAAGGTTGCGGAAAGGGTTGCGTTACTTTAAGCGGTACCCAGTGTACCAGTAAGCGTTGAAAGGATCCAAAGAACATGGCTTTAAGCTTGTCTTCGTAACAATCTCTACTATGGGTGTGAGTTGGTTGTGTTGACTTTCGTGCAATCTTCTCTCTAATTAATAAACGCCACTTGCCTACTCGTTTCTTTCCGTCGTCGCGACCAAACGTTTCTTCCACAACGACACAGATGGTAAAGTTGTACGCTCCGAACTGTAAACGCGAGAACACGAACCACACGGTGTATGTAAATAGCGGTAATCGGGTTATCAGTTGCGCGGTTTCTACCGACGAACTGTTTCTCCGTGAAAAATCAGAGCCGAGACAGTTGGTCGATCGAAATCTGCTAAACTCACCATGTACACTTTTTGTATTATATCGTCCGGTGTGTTTAACATACGTAGCTTAGGATAAACCTTACCTTACAATTCTTCACTTCTTCGTCAAACAAAGGGTTCAATTAATTGTATTCGTTCTATTCGCCATTGTACAAACTACCTTTCGAAAAGAACAAAAAAATATTCTAAAGAAAAGGAATCGTTTACTTATGTTTCTTTTCTTTCTTTTTTTTTTACCGAAGAATCGTAATCGATTTGCTGTAACAGTTAACAAAGATTACTCGGAGAACGGAGAGAAGACGGAGAATAAAGATATCTCGTTGCATCGATAGACGCGTGAATAAATAGTAACGGGACGTGTATTTACATGTCTTAAATTATATCATTAAATATTAGCATATGTCACGATCGACGATAATTCTATCTCGTTCCGTCAGTCGCGACAGATGTAAATTTCACGTTGGTCGATTTCTTCGAAACGCCGCAGAAGATTGCTCTCCATATTTCAAACAAATCGACGAGGCGTTACGTTACCGACATATCGCGAGTCAACTTGCAACTTTTTTGCACTGTGTGGAGCAACAATTCTATGTACATAACTTTCAAACAGTTTTTACCCGTCGCGTGGCCTTATTCGAGCAAGTCGACTCACGATGCGTGCGTACAAAAAAAGTATATATATATATGTATAAACACAGAAATATCCTTAAAAAAAAAGAAATAGCAGGACGGTTTGAGGCAAAGCCGAAAATAAACGTTCGATCGAAACCGAAAGATTGCCATAATTCGAAATCACGAGACCGTATTCTCGAATACGTCGCAGCACTGTTAAGAGCGGAAGAAGCAGACGGTGCAGATCTCGACTGTCGAGGAAAAAGGAGTTACCGTTGTCCGGTGTGCGCTTCGGTTCCTCCTCTGTTCACCTTTTTTTGGGTCGTAGCCCACTTTGTTTGACGGAGGCGATTGCCCTGGGCGATTTGGGTTTGGTCAAGGCTCCGACATCGCCGTCCATTCTTTCTCACTCTCTCCAAGGAACAGATCGCGGCTGGACCTATTGGCCTAGATCGGCCCAGAAGCCCGTTACCTCTCGAAAATCGTCTACACTCGACTGAACTAGGATATCTTGGACCTCTCTAATTGGAACCACTTGTCCCTGGCATTGTCTGTCTCACTTGTCGCAGCCTTGATACCACCTTTGTTCTACCTATTGTTACCCTAATGGTCTCTTCTTTTTCTTCGTCGTTCTCTCGAACGACAGCGACGTTGGTGTTCGACGAGTGTTCGACGAGTGTTCAAGTTCGAACGTGAATTAGACTTTCTTCTTCTTGTAGGCTTTTCTGTAGAAATCGAGGAACAGGTAGATGAAGATCACCACGTTCGCGAGGAAGAAGTAGGTAAGAGCCTTTGGCACTTTGCAGTCCATCGCGAGGACCATCATCAGGTAGCCGAGCATTATGAGGAATTGTACCTGTAACGCGGAGTAATGTTCGTCGTTGATTGCATATCGACGAGAAAGTGGTGAGAAATTGTACGGGGAGAGAGTGTTACCAGCTGGATCCCGGTCATGTATTTCTTCCACCACAGGTATTTCCTGTATTGCGGGCCAAGTGCTGCGATCAGGTAATACGAGTACATGACGATGTGCACGAAAGAATTGAGGATACCGATCAGAGCACCCTGTTCTCCGGGAAGAAATTTCAGGTAACACCAGGAGAACACCGAGGTCATCGTGTGGTGGTAGACGTGCAAGAAGGTCACTTGGTTTTGCTTCTTGCGCAGCACGAAGAACACCTATCGAATTTTTTGCCTTTTTAGGGGAACGTCGAGTGTGTTTTATGCCGAACGAGGATGGATGTTGAACTTACGGTGTCTAGAAGCTCGATCATCTTCGCGATAAAGTACCACCACGCTGCTTTCGATACCTGTGAAATAGGTTATGTTGCAGTATAAGTAAATGTACAATTAAATGTCCTATTAGGTGTACAAATTAATTCGTGGCCTTGTTTCGGGCTTTAGAAAAGAGCCAAAGTACAGTTCAGTACTATACATTTATTCCATTTCTCAGCCAGTTGGCGAATTCCCTTTCGAAACACTGATGGCGGTTTCGAAGGTATAAAATCAGCAATGCTGTTTGAATTTTGAATCGGTTAGATGGTGCTGAGGTGAACGATAGAGATAATAGTCGCACGAGGCAGAATTTCCCATCCGAGTCCGATAGTGTTTTGTCGCGTCGCGCTTTTTAGTAAATGTTCAAACTCTTACTCGCCGAATCAATCTTGGGTAACTGATTTTAAACTGGTAGAGTGGTTGAACGATGTGATTTTTCTCCCGAACGTTGGAGATGGGTTGTCTGAACCTCGAGAGCTCGGAGGTGTCGGTTTGCTGCTCGATAGAATCTTTGCGAATGAAAACCGATCACCGAATTTTCCTGGAGTCCGCCGTGACTCCCCTGCCAAGTGTAAGAAGGCACGGTGATTGGGTTTTCACGAACGCATAAATTAGCAATTAACGTGCCCCCTTGAGTGTTGTCACCCACCCTTCCATTGCGCAATTGTGAGGCGATCTTCGCTGTCCTTTGGTGACGCGACGGAAATTTCCGCCGGTGTGGTCTGACCATTGAGGAATACCTGGTTTATGACACGTCTTCGGCTATCGAGGACGCCGGAAGATAGAAATTCTAAAGCCATTGTTTGCAAGAAATTACTTATATTTTCGCGGAGCTACGAAGCGTCTTTGTTCTCAAAACTGACCTTTTGGTGCGAGCGTGTCACAAACCCGGACATGCTTTGTTTTGCTGGTAGAAGCAAGTTGAGAACTCTGACAATCGCAAGGGCCACGAATTCATTTGTACACCTAGTATTTACTTACGGAAGCTTGCACGTTGATGTCGATAGGCGTTCGATTTGCAGAGTTGCATTTCGGTGAGAATATCAGAGGACCTACACCGGGTTCCAGCGACTGTTGTGAAATATATGTGAATAGTAATTAGGAAAAATTGATCGAGGCCGTTGGTAACTGTGAATGGAGATTATAGAATATTCATTACTCTGAGCGTCAGCCAGATACTGAAAAGCACTTGAAAGGCATTGTAAGCGATCAGCAGAAAGTTCAACTGGAAGGCTGGCCTCTTTTCCATCATTTTCGGGCCGACTTTCAAAACGAACGCTAAGTAGGTCCCCACGATGCACAACATAGGGCCAGGTGAGCCCATCATCGGCCAGGAATCCACCATGATTTCTGAAATACAAAAGTGCTTACATAGGCACGTGTCGACACTTTCACGGCGACTTAGTTATACAAGAGTTCCCTTCGCGTCTGCTATCGTGAATGAAACGAAAGTTGAACGGATCGTTGGTGAATATTCTCTCATTGTTGTCGAAACAAGTTGCATAGATTAGCTATTGTAATCGCTTCGAAGTTTCTAGCAAACAAAAACTATCCGAGTTTCTCACACGATTACCTTTGTTGGTCTGCAGGATCTCGTTGTAGTTGTTGACCACCAAGCGCATTAAACCCGACATATTGACAGGCTTCCCGTTCTCTTCTTATCGAATAGGTAATTCTAAGAGAGGTTTGAAAAAAGTGTTCACGAACTTGAAGTGTCATTTGCAGAAGAAAATCTCGCCGAGTGTTAATTGGAAGTAATAAAAAAGTGTCTCTACTTACACAATTTGAGCGAGGTTTCACCTGAAATCCTCGAGAAGCTCGGATCAACTTGGACGCAACAGAAAGTCACGATGTTCTTGCGTCGAAACGCATCAGCATCGAAGACACTAGCACTCGACGTCGGGTTCTTCTTCGTAGTACTATTTATCAACGTCTGCCGAGAGGCGGAGATGATGAAGGAGGAGCCGCGAATCAAAAACTGAACACCTGACGACGAAAGTAGCCGGCAAGAGGACCAAAACCTCGATCTTCTTCGCGTGCCCCACCACGAGCGTTCGAACTTGCTGTAAAATCGAGACTTCCGCCGCCCGGCGGGCTTAGAGGAGGAGGAAGGGATGAGGACTAGGTCGTCGAAGAACCGTGAGTCACAACGAGATGCGTGAAACCCGTTTTGATTAATATGCTCGATAAATCTGTGCGGCGATTTGTGGTTTGGTTAGACGGAGGAGAGGTGCGGTTGTTCGATTTCAGCGCTTCAACATGAAGAATACGGCGGTTTAATCATGTTAGATAGAAGAATGCTGGATCGTGAGCAATTAGGTTAACGATATTCGCCCGTGGAGTTTATTAAGGTCAGGATTTCTGCGTTGTTCGCTCCGACGCAATGCTGATTGGTAAATTAGCCAAGGTACACAGGTGCAGCAATCGATCAAATTAAAGTTGAAAAAAACAGAAAAATGGTGAAGCGGGTATGGAGCGTCGACAGATGAATATGCAAGAAATGTAAAGCCTTCGATTAAAACGAAAGATAAAGGTCGCACAAATAGAAGGTTCGTCCGCGACGCGGCTATTTGACCGGAATAAAGAGACGTGGATTGACACCGTGGAGGAAATGGATTCGAACGTGAGACGGTGTTTGCCCTGTTAAGCCGTTCGCAGACGTGAAAAAGGGATCTCTTTAATTTCGCGACTATTACCACGGTTCAATATTTGCATCGAACCACGCAATATACGTATCCTAGGTTAAACAGTATGGCGCGTTTACCTCACGATTCCACTTTGAAGTTAAATTTATTCTACGCGTTAAACTTGCTATTATACTGTGCTCACTTTGGATACCACGGTGTTTGTCTTCCAGACAAAAACACTCGGCATAACAATTCGAAAAATTGTCCACTTCTCGACTAAGCGTCCTACAATCCCCCCATCTCTGCCGTTCCTTCTCCTCGAGAACTCCACAGCCAGGCAGAACAGTAAAACGATCGTGCAACTGTACACGCGCGTCTTTTCCAAGTTTTACCACGGAGAAATTGCAGGCATGGTGTCGATGGCTCGTAAATTCAGAACCAGAGCGTTTCTTGGACGGCCGAGAGGAATGGCGCCTCGGCCAATCGTCACTTTGCAAACGAAACTCGTTACGAGCTTCTCGAAGGTGCTTTCTAACGCAGCGAAGTAAGTCACCGGGACGGTTCGAAGCCAGCGAGAAATTCCTAAAACTATGTCAAAACGGCGAAGGTTTTTAGCAGTGGGTGTTAAAACGTCGACAATTCCTCCGGAACGTGCGTGAAGAAAAACGATTGAGTTTACCGGTAGAACGATTTGCATATGGCGAAATCTTCCATACAACAGCCGGCTGCAACCTCAATTACCCTCCTTAACACTGGGCGAATTCACAATTAACCTAGGCACACCTGAAGAACGCGTGAAATACGCGTCTATCCATCAGCTGCATTCACGAGTCATTGTGCTTGTCAATTTTTCCCTTACTCTCCCCTAGTGTCCTAGAAATACGCACAGCGTGGCCGTGTTTCGTGGATCATTGAGAAACGGCGGGTAACGGAACCCGTGTGGACCAGCGACACTTTCCAATGTAACTGTTATACGTAACGAACGACTAGCTCTGTCCACAGGTGGTACTATCTCGTTGTCAAATCGAACAATTCTTCCGACCTTGTCTGAGAAGCATAGATCGTGGCGCAGGGTGGCGCCAGATACAGCTGCACGAAGACGAATGCTCCTGTTCGATGTGCGACCATTCTCTTGGATTTCGAGGTGAGAGACGCGAAAGCGACCTTCCTGATCGTTTTTTAAGCGCGATGGAGCCCGGCGTAACGGCACTCGCCGTTAAAACCGCCGCTTCTGTGCTCTTCTCTCTAAGTTTCGCCTCTCGCGTTGTTGGTTAAAGCGTGAAAAAAGTAGGTCGGCTTTTTTTCCTACGCAGATCCAAACACGGAGTCGCTTTCATTTTTTATCAGTCGCCGGGTGTTTGTTAAATTGGGTTAGGGTGTCGTGTGTAGATTAGAACGGAGGCTGCACCGGGTAGCCGGCGGAATATTTTCGAGAAACGTTCGGAGCGAGAAGGTAAGGAATTTCGGTGGTTTCGCGCGATCGATTGTCTAGTCGTCGATGTGTTCGGTTGGGATTTTCAAGATATGCGTTTATGAGAAACTTACGTATTCGTGGAAGGCTAACACCGAGGACAATCCAGATCGGGATCGAGCGCCGGTAGATCGAAGATACTACGAATTTAGGTACGGTATCGCTCGATTAACCTTACATGTCGTTGCGTGACTGTGAACGAGGCTATCGGCGCAACAACGGCCTAACCCACAATTTTCGGTCAATTGACATTTCGTACATAGCGAAATTATACGTGTGATCTCGAAACGAGCTCTTCGGGGTTAGGTCGTTCTCCACGAGTTTCTGTTGTAATATATGTATATTATTCGCTTACTTACAAGGTAACATTTATTGATTGCAAGTGAACAGGCGACCAACGTGTGACACTTATCGCGAATGATCGTCGAGTTGGGGAGCGTACTCGACAATTACACAACTTACGTCTATTATGCGTTGAAACAGAGGAGACAAGATTATGGTTCTGCGTTAATAGGAGAGTCGGCGGGGGACGATGAAACGAAGTTAAATACAAAGATGAATCGAGGATCGGCGAAACGTACGTGCGATCGAATAGAACGCTCGCTTAGACGAGAAAACCCTCGACACTCCGTGTTCCCGACGGCGACGAAGATCGTTCAAGTTTGTACTCTCGTTGTAGAGAAATTGGTTTAGCGGTGAACGAGATGATTTTCAATCGAACCGAATAATGATTCAATGATACTTCTTGACAATCGTTTAAAATTCAGACACCCTATTTTCTACGTCTCGCGTAAGATGGAGAAACTTAAAGGACACAGAACGGCCACGTTCGTTGGAACGCAACTTACTGATTCTTCTTCACCTTCCCGTTCGACAATTCCGGCGTGATCCCGTTCTTCGTGGTTTTCCGTTTCTTGATGTACGTCTTGTAGTAGAAGTCGCCGAAGAGCACGATCATGAAGAGGTTCTGAGGGATCATCACCGCTGCTGTCCATTTAGGGAAGCCGCATTTCTCCGAGCAGGCCAGCAATATGAATTGCACCAATATCAGACAGAATTGAGTGATCTGCAGCTGTGTCACGTGCTTCTTCCACCAGGGTTTGCTTATTCTCAGCGAGGTGGCCAGGTAATGGGTGTACATCACCACGTGAACGAAACAGTTTATCGTGCCTGTGGAATTTTTTAACAGTTTCTCGTTATTTCGGTAGGAAATTGTCCGTGTTGTTTCGAATACAGACGTACCTAAGAAGCTGATGTGACCACCGGGTAAAAATTTCGTCGCCACCCAGGAGCCGAAGATCATTCCTGTGTGATGGTAGACGTGAAGGAAGGATATCTGATTCTCTTTCTTTCGAAGAACGAAGAAGATCGTGTCGATCAGATCCAGGATCTTCAGCATGAAGTATATCCAGACGATCCTCGTGATCTGTATCGACAATTGCTCAACGTAGCTTTTGCAGTGTTCTTTTAGGGATATATTTTGTTACCTCGAGCGCTCGGAGATTGTAAGAAAAGTCGACGGGTTCGCAGTAGAAGCGGTAATCGACCAGCCAGGCTAACGTCATTGCCTGTAATTTTAGATGGGAAAGTTTGCAAGCTCGAGTGCGTTGCACTCTCGATCGTAAGAAGATCGAAAGGGGAGAGTAACGATTTAGGTTTACCTTGTAGAATACGTATGCGCACATTACTATCTGTATCAGGTTATAGAGCTGCACGATTCTGTCGAGATTGAAGGGCTTCCTCTTCGCCATGATATTGGGCCCGAGTTCGTGGACGAAGTACAGGTAGAAGAACATTATGCCGAGGCAGCCCCATGGTGATCCGATGAGAAAGTAGTCCTGTGTTCGAGGATCTTCGGGAAACAGAAATATCGACGTATCTCCGCAATAACTCTAATCTTAGACCTTAGTTTCAATACCTGCTAATTCCTCGTTGATATAGCGGTATCCGTAGTAGATTCGTCGCACCAACGTCGCCATGATACACGGGACAAGAATCGAAACGAGCAGGGGGAAGATCGATGGTAACGTTCGATGTGGAATAAGGTGGTAGAATATCGAAGCCTTACCAAACGACGATCCGCGAAAGCGATCGTTCACGAGCGAACATCGGAGTCACCATGGACAGGTCTTGGTGGAAAATCCAGGGAGACTGATGGACTCTCTTTCCCCCGCCAAAAACGCCCCGCACCATGCTCCTATTGTATTTTAATTAATCGCTGGTGTCGAATCGAAGTCCCCCGCGGAAGCACGATGCCGTCACGAGTTTAACTTCTTTGACCTTCTTCCTTGGAGGGTGTATGACCTTACTCGTGGCTGAACCGTGCTCTCGTCGAATTCTAACGAGCACGATCGCTTCTTCGTCGAGATTTTCGTACGACAAGTGTCTGCTCCATCGTCTCTTGTCGTACGTCGTTGTGTTTCGCTGGAATCTCGAGAGATGCCGATAAGGCGAGGTATCGAAATTTTTCGTCGAAGAGGGTCGATCGAACGAGACGCGTTCACATATGCGCAAATGTACACGCGAACTATGAAATTGCGGCAATCGCGTTAGACATCCGGAATGGAATATTCAACTATTGAGCATCGAATGGAATATTCAACAAAGAGCAGGTCAGCTATAGTTATACGACGATGTGTGAAATGTATTTTTGGTGGATTTAATTAAACACGGATTATTTGCAATTTGCATATAATCAGATGGGTCACTGACCGTTTTATAGGTTCACAATATTGCTACAGATTCTGGGAAAGGTAGAGGGATAATTTTCACCATCAGAAGTCGATCTTGGAGAGTTTCCATTTATTTCACGTGAAATTTTTCTCATAAGTTCGTATTGGTTCGCGAGGGTTCGTAACGCTGCTTTCCAAGGAGACGATGAATATTCATCAAGCACGACGAAAAGTGGCATTTTATCGTTGACTTGGTTGAAAAGTTCAGATCGTGGCGTTTATTGAAATTTAGCTGATTTAGATTTCGTATTGTGTTCCCGTTAATCCAAAGTTCATAGTTTCCTTTGAATTACGTAGAGTAGTGTTTCACAAGTGATTTACCGGAAGCTTGTAGACGAGAAGAGGAGGTGGCATGGTAGAGGGATAGAAAGTAGGAAATTTTTAAAGCAAAAATTGGTCTCTTTATGCGTTGATATGTTAACCCTTTGAAAGTTTTTAAAACTAATTATTTCAATATTCAACGTATTCTCTATTTCGACAGAATCTGCTCTCTGTCTCCATTTATTATTAATTACTTTCTTTTCGATCGGTAGAACATTCTAGCTGACCGTTGGACATATTCAAAACGGAAAATTGATCGACAACAAATTCCACTGAAATCACACCAAAGTGTCGCTCGTGGAGTGTGCAATCCACTTTATTTGCCAACGGACAATGAGCGAGTGTGTACACGGTGAATGAATAACGACCCTGGCCTTGTGAAACCGATTCGAGGAACGAACGAACGAACGATCACTCGAGATTTTTTCCCGAAATCGACACCGTCCATTATCAAATGAAAACTCCCTCGAGTTCAGTTTCACTTGCCGTCCCTTCGCACGAATGTCACGGATCGCGTATAATTTCTCTAAATGATAATATCAATATCGACGAACGGTATTTTTAACCCGAAGCGGATGCAGAGGTCACTCGGGTTGAACGGTCATGACCTTTAATGACTAAAGTATGTCTACCAGCGGTATAATCGACGCGATCCGCTGGCCTTCGACGCGCGGCTTATTTACCTCGAAATTTTGCCGATTTTTGTCGATCATCGATCGACAAACGCGCGGACTTTTCAGGAAGCAGGGAGAAGGAACGTTTGAAATGTTTATCGAAAAATATGGCTCCTTTTATTGCACAGTTGTATCGATACACACGTGAATTCGTTTTTTTGGGTAATTTAAAAAAGATCGTACAATTGTTCCAAGACAGCAGCTGTGGATCTCGCATTATTGTCACAATCGTTTCGATAAGGTAACGCTTTTACGAAGGAACGATAAATAGAGAAGGATGCTTAAAGAAAAGTAAAAGGGAGATAAAACAAATCGAAATTTGCATCGAAAGTCATCCCTCTATGATCTATACGCATTTTGTAATCGAACTGTAAAAAGAAAATTCGATTTCGAACATTATTGTCGATTATTTTTCAACGATCTGCAGAATGTCGGTAATTAAAGTAGATCGCTGTTCTGTCGTATCCGACGAGCAAAGTTGTTCGTTGAGATCGATCGGTAATCCGTTCGACGTACGATCGGAGGATTCCTGCATTATCGACACCTTCGGACAAGCGTTACGATAACGATAATACGGCGGAAAGTACACACGCGTGATTACAAAAGGAGTGGAAACATTAAAAAAAAAAAAAACCTTACGAACGTTTCGTTCTTGTGTAATGTGTAATTTAAAAACAAAAGCGTAAAATAGAAATGTACATTCTTTCCCATCGAGGAACACGGAGATCAGGCAATCTCATTCTCGCTGTTAATACTCTCTTTCTCTCTCTCTCGAATATCTCCAGGCGGGAAATATGAAATTTCCCAAGCCGGCAATAAATATTCCATTTAAATTGTTTCTTTTCACGCTAGAGAGATCTATAAATACTTAAAAGAAAAACATGATCGTTCTTTCATAGCAAAGCACAACGAACGAAGAACATTCAAAGTATAATTTCACCAAACTCATTCCGCTTTGTTCAGAACCGCACCGTTACTTGTCTTTCCAGCTGCTGCTCGTCGTTCGTTTTTCAAGTAATTCTCGACGTAGAACGAGCCGAACATGTAAATGAAGACTATCGAATTAAGCGTGAGTAGGAACGCGATAAAAGTCGGATAGTTGCACCCGTTGAAGAACAGTTGGACGCTGTGCACGAAGACGAAGAGGAACTGGATCAGCTGTAACGTAGTCAGGTACTTTTTCCACCATAGATACTTGTTCATTTGTGGTCCTATCGACGACAGCATGTAGTACGTGTACATGATCACGTGGATGAACGAATTGATGACACCCAACATGGTACCGTGACCGTTTGGCAGGAACCTGCATCCGATAAAGCCGCAAATCGGCATCAGAGTGTGATGATATATGTGGAGCGTCGAGATCTGACGGTTTTTCTTCCGGAGAACGAAGAATACCGTGTCCAACAACTCTATCAGCTTGCACATGTAGTAAAAGTGTACTCCTCTTGCCATCTGTAAGTTGTAATTCGAGATATCAACCATCAGTTTCACGTATAATTAGTAGAGGTGTGCGAGAACGCGAGATAAATGTCGAGATTTTCGAAAATTTGGGGAACGAGAGAGACTCGCTTTAACGAACATGACCGCGGTTCCAATTTTTCGACTTTTTAGGCGTTCTTTTCTCAGCTAATATTACTTATCTAATTCCGACACTTTTGGGAATCCGGACGCTTTTGAGAATTCCTACGCTTTTGAGAATTCCTACGCTTTTGAGAATTCCGACACTTTTGAGAATTCCGGCGCTTTTGAGAATCTCGACGCTTTCGAGAATTCCTACGCTTTTGAGAATCCCGACGCTTTCGAGAATTCCTATGCTTTTGAGAGTCCCAACGCTTTTCAGAATTCCCACGCTTTTGAGAATCCCGACGCTTTCGAGAATTCCTACGCTTTTGAGAGTCCCAACACTTTTCAGAATTCCCACGCTTTTGAGAATCCCGACGCTTTCGAGAATTCCTACGCTTTTGAGACTCCCAACGCTTTTGAGAATTCCCACGCTTTTGAGAATCCCGACGCTTTTGAGAATCCCGACGCTTTCGAGAATTCCTACGCTTTTGAGAGTCCCAACGCTTTTCAGAATTCCCACGCTTTTGAGAATCCCGACGCTTTTGAGAATCCCGACGCTTTTGAGAATCCCGACGCTTTTGAGACTCCCAACGCTTTTGAGAATCCCGACGCTTTCGAGAATCCCGTCTCTCCCGGGAATCCCAGACATTCTAGAATTCCGACACTATCGGGAATCTAAAACTTTTCGAGATCTCGTTCCGATTCTGCAAAAAATTCTCATCCCAACCCGATATTTTTGGGTTCTCTCACGTCTCCACTAATTAACGTTCGATCGATAGGAGAGGCTTGACCGTGATTTGAAACGGTACCAAACGTACCCTCATTGCTTGTGGATTGTCCGAGTAGTCGACAGGCTGGCAGTAGTAATTATAGTCGTAGAGCCATCCGCTCATCAATCCCTCGTAAACGAGATACATGCTCAACAGCACTTGAATGAAATTGTACACAATCATGACGTTTCTAAGTTCGTACGGTTTCTTGTCCTTCATGTACCTAGGCCCGGCAGACGTGCAGAAGTAGACGTAACTAACGAGGATTACCGATAGCGGTCCCAATCCCGAAGTCAGGAACCAATCCCTCGTCCTGGGATCTAGAAGAACGAGTACACGTTAGAAATTCCAAAATTACCTCACTTACCCCTTCCTCGATTCTCTCTCGACGCGATCTTTACCACTTTTGTTGATCATTATCTCTTTGTACCACTCCACGATGCCCGTCATCCTTCCAAATTCTCGATTACTCTGCAAAATAAACACGTCAGCTTTCAATCGATCCTGCTATCCTTGTACCACAGGCGGAGCAAACGATAAATCACACCGAGATCTATACGACAAACTCGGTGACGAAATGATATACGAGAATTCCGTACCGTTGGTGTACACAGCTCGAAAAATATCTAATGCCGTATAACGAGGAAACATTCCTTCGTTAGCGTAATCGACGCTCGACGACGCTTTCGTAACGTTCGATCGAACAGATCTCGGATACCAGAAGATTCATCGCGAGAGGGAGAGAGACGTGAATCAGCAGGAGGCGGCTGAATTACCAGAATTATGCTAACGTCATCCGCGTGAAACGGACCGGTGTCCTTGGTCCCGCCACACCAATTCCACGGCTATCCAAATCGTTTTCCTCTTCTAATTGCACCGCGAGCAATTAGCAGAACGCAATCAACCGGGAAACAATTTGCTCGTCGCGGACTTTTCTTTCGCACGTCGTAAAATTGACGGAGAAAGGTGAGACAGAAGGTTGTTCCCGGTGACGATAACCTCGCTAGAACTGCCTGCGATGATTTACGATTTATCAACGTTCGGACAAAGTCCCGATCGACTCCTCCTCTTCTATCGAGCTCGTTTCAGACGTAGAAAAGAATGCTGTCCAAAGTTGAAGGACACCGGCGAGATACACGCTTCCTCGTTCCCTTTCGTCGAAAGATTGATCGGGAACCGCGGTGTATTATGGCGTGTTGATCTCTTCCGGATCGCGGCACGTGCGCGCCAGTTTAACATGCTCTCGGTAACAGAATGGTACGCACTTCTAAGCAACCGTGAACCGGACCATTGTGTTCCTCAGCTTCGAACGAACCTTACGTGATCTGCGTGTACATCGCGGATTAATTTCCACCAATTCCGTCTCCGTCTAACGCAAAACCTCTCCGCGCGCTTTCCTCGCAGTCCCGGCGAAGCAGGGTCTGTGTACATTTCAGTACGCCTGTTACACGTGGCGATTACTTAATACCTCGTGGACATTCATGCTCGACCAACGGTGGAGGAAGAAAGAAAGGGGCGATAACTGGTTGAAAATCGTCGAGTATTATTCATTTGTAACCGACCGAGGCAATATTCGCTGCGATCAGATACAGCTGAACGGCTGGACGGCTTGGTCATCGAGAGAAAGAGAGAGCGGCAGACAGCCCGTGGAATAAAAGAGAGGATCGCCGCGAGTGAGGGATGCAGCCGTGATCCAAGGTGAACGAGATCGTTAAGGTGCTGCTGTTTCTTCTGAGCCCCTTTTCCCCAACTTGGGTTATCCCGGTGTCGACAATCTGCCCGCCGCCACCAATACCTTTTACCGTTCAAAGCCCACACAAAAATTCCGGACGATGCCCCCGTGTTTTCGAGCTCCCCCTTGGGACTTGCCGCGATTTATCTCCCGTGGCCGGTTTTACGCGGTATAATCGGTAACCCCGAATATTAAGAATCGCTTAACGTTCCAACGATCGAACGGTTCACGATGTTTACGATGTTCACCATGTTCCTTACGATTCACGTTTCATAAGCATTTTCGATCGTCGCGAGCAGATTGCGAAGTTAACGTGGCAATCTACTTTTCCACTCTGAGAGTTATTTCCCCGCCGGCAAATTACAGACAATTCGACGATAGAACGTTGTCAGACACGCGTGTCGCGGGCTTGAGATGAAAATTGACCGTTTCACAACCACAATTCTGCCAGCTGAAACGTTCAAAAGCGGGAATTTCCTTGGAAGGGAACGCGCGAACAGCCGTTTTCCCGTTTTCGACATAGATTTTTCCGTGGCGCAACGCCGCGCGCTTGGTTCGGGGCGGCGAGCGATCGGGAACTGGTTCTCTAGTCCGGGCAGAAAGTGAATTCCGCGGGAAGGATTACAGGTCTGGTAATAAGCTAAACCAGATACGTCTCGGCGATAGTTGCCGCAGAGAGGGAAGGCTCGATGCGGGAATTAGGGTTCAAGGTAGGTGAATACTTTGCGAGATTATTCTTCGGAATGGAAACGGTGGTTAGTCCTACGCGAAGCCACGGGCAAACCGCCGTAGGAGGAAAACGTATGTATGAAACCGGTTTCGTGACAACTTTCCTCGCTTAACAAACGCGATCCGAGCAAAAGAAAATAATGCTTCGGCGAGAGCGTAATCGCCGCCTGATGTGACGCAAAACCCGAGATGCAATCCAATTACAATTGCATATTCAACGACTGCTATTGTTTATCGAGTCGCGTCTCGGTTAAATCTAGATGGACACATTTAGATGGACTATTCTGGTTTGGAAAGAAAAAGGGCAAAGCGAGAAATGCTCGGATTGTTTTCGAACGGGGTTTCTGCGTCTGATATAATGTTCCCCACCTTGAAGCCGAATTTCGCGACGATCACGGGATTGACAAACAAGGGAAAATCGACGAAAAACAATTGCTGCAGGATGTTCTTTGTCCTTCTCACTTTCGAACATCGATCGAGCACGGCCGTTGGTATTTTAAGAGATCCGCTGAAGGCGACCCACACACGCGTCGTATTAACCTTTCGACGATGCGAAACAGCTTGCAGTCGTGATTTTCTCACGTTTGTCCATTTGAAAGTCGAACAAAGTTTCCTGTTAACCAATCAAGCGTCTACGATCATCTTCGACCTGTGCAAGGTTCTTTGATATGCGTCGAACAATCGAATCTATACAATTCAGATTTTGTAATCGGATTTGCCCTAATTCACCTGTCATTGTGAATTCTTTTCTTTTCTTTCCTCGTTGTTTACCGGCAATTTCAATGGACACTTTAAAACCTAAAGAAACGACGTACTGGTACCTTAACGCAGAAATTCGCAACCTCTCGTTCGTCGGAGGCGAAAGAAACGACGATAAAGCAGCTTCGAGATCGTCGAAAGTTGCTGAAAAAAATGTGCTCGCTGTTACTTTCAACGATGCCTCTCGATTCGGACGTAAGAACGAAGGGCGTCGGGGCGCCATGACCGTGAGTGGAACCGAGACAAGCTCTGGTGCGGTCTCGTTGATCCAACGAAACGAGAAGAAAAGAAAAGCGCGTATAGCCGACCGATTCCAGTTTCGTTTTCCACGAAATTTTATGGTAATGTAGTTTTTTTCTCAGGGGAGACCTTTAAACCGGGTAAAAATCGGGTAAAAACACTCGGAAAGAAACTGGATCTGACGAATTTTTCGTATGTCGTAAGCGTAAACACGTTCTCGCGTAAGCATCCGGTGTTTCGCGGTTTTTCCCCCTATTGGACAATCGTGTACATATATGTATATACACTGCCGCTCATGGAAGTATGGACACTTCCCCAAAGGAGGAAATTGTTATCAAAGAAAGAACTGACCAGAGTAATTTCTGCATTTATTTTTTCTTTCCACTCTCGAGTGTACGTACTTGCACGAGCGGCAAAGATACGTCGGAGATAAAAGATCGCCCAGCCCAGCTGTTTGCGGGAAACAAATATTCGAGTACATATTAGAACTGACAATGCGGCGCTCTATTTACACGGATCGTGTTTGCCGTTCAATATTGTGCCACGACAATATTTACGATGCAATAATGCGACGGATTCTCGCCTACGCGACTCTTAACCGCGCTGATTGTGCCTTCGATTGCATGTTTACTCGCCGAGGAACGCGGAAAGGCAATCGAAGAAACTATTATCGTCGATGGTCGGAAAATCTTTGCGACGACGTTATAGAATTCCTTTTTCGACAAGTGAAAGCGTCGCGTTTGCCGTTCGTAAGGCTTCTCGTTTCTCCTGTTTGCAAATTAAAGGGCCTGGGGTCGTCTGTTCCATTTTGCGCGGCAAAACTCTGTTATTATACGAACGAGCGATTAATTTGAGATAAAACAGCGGATGAAACGAGGAATTTACGTCACGATGGAATCACCGATCGAGGAATGAATAGAATTTCCAAGCTTTGAGAAATCCAGATCTACATCTCAATACCGAACGCTGATGCGTGTCCAAAATTTTTCAAGAAGAAATCGGAGAATCTTTGGCCATCGTTCGGTAATGCAGGCAGACACGCCAAAGTGTTTCTCACAGTGACAGATTCGGCACAATAGCGGGATGCGACCGAAGCTAGGTTTTTTTCTCCAACGCGAACATACGCATCGAGTGGTTGCAAAATTCATTATCCACGGTTATCTGTTCCTTTCTTCGACCGAGAAGGAGCATTAAGCTACCGAGAGTGGTTTCGTATTCCATCTCACGTGTAACCGCCTCTTGCACTAATCCCTCGTTATTTCGCAACCTGCGAACGCACCTTCGTGTCGTTTATTCCATTGAAGTCGTGACACTTGTTGCGTCGAACGCACGAAAAACTTGATTACTTTCGAAAAAATTTGACAAACGAGTAATATCTTTCCAACCCATACGTAAACCTGGGTGTGTGTACGTGACACGATGCCTACGACAGAGATTATCGACCGTACGGAGAAGAAAGAGCGATCGGTACTCACCTGTTGCGAAGAGAATTCGCCGAGAGTCTCTCTGTAGAGACCGAAATCTGTTTCCCTCGACACGAGCTTATCCCGCGAGGGAACCAAGAATGCCACCAAGTAGAACGATTCACGATGTAATCACACTGTAGCCAATCGTCGCCACCTGAATCGCCCTGTTGGTCAAAGGACGTCCTCCTAACACGAGGTTCCTTATCGACTCTTACGGTTGAAGAAAAGTGAGCGAATAAAAGAAGGAGAGTCACAGGATGATCGTTGCTCTTGGAGCAGACAAGAAGACTGTATACGATATATATATATATACACGTAATATAATGGATTCCCTGACGGGATTGTAAATCGTCGAAAGGACCAGCTGGCGTGGCCTTTGGTGTTTTTCAGAGGATCGATTCCGATGTGATAGTCGGTACACTGCGAGGAAACTACTGCCGGAGTGTAGTGTCTCTCGGTTCCGTCGTCTCCCGGCACGCACTACTGATGGACGCCGATGCCAAGGTTCTCTCTCCCTTTGGCACAGCCACGAACGATATCCTCTACGGTCTGACAACGCGTTGCTCCGCAGACGTAGCCTTATATCCCTTCCAGTTGGGCTGGTTCACGATTACGCGTAGCGACGGAGTCGATGCTTACTAATTTCCGAGCAAACGTTCCTCCGTTCTGTTTCCGCCGCCGTTACTCCCACCGTTGCAAAACGGAACGTTTCGCGTGTCGGTGATCAAATTTCGGTGTCGATCGAGGTCAAACGTGCTTCTTGTTTGCCCGGAATTGTTAGGTGGATAATAGCTCGACAATTAGCTTGAATTTGATTAATCGATACAGCGGTGGATTGATTTTGTCGACGTGCGTAATAGAATTGAATCCATCGCTGATTAAACCTGCGGTTTCTATTTTGCGCCAGAGTTATCCGCGTTATTGGAGATACTGGAAGGGTTCAACGTCTCACGGGGATGTCGTTACGCACGATATTCGACGCCCGATGGATTTTTCGCGTTTGACTCGGTGTCTGTGACGCATAAATCGCGGTACTTGAACCCTTTACTCGAATCTTCCAATCCCTCCTGTCCCCTGCTCTTCGTATCTCCTTCCACTGTACTCCTTGGGTTGTTAGTATTTGCGCGGCTGAATCGAAGATGAAGTCGCAAATTGAACGGTGCACACGCGATTAACATAATCGGTAGGTGAAAGAGGAAAGAAAAGTTGCCGCGCTCTTGCTCAATATGATTAATCTTGTTTGTGCTTTTTTTTCACCCAGTTAGGTTGCTTTTTAATGACTCGTCAAGAATGCCGTTTCAAACGTTTCAAATCCGTTTCCTCTTGTTTAATAATTGAGTAATAATTTCACACAGTTAATCGTATCCAACCTCCGTCCTTCGTTGTTACGCGCTAATAGCGGTGCCGAATTTCAATTGCAAATCGACGTCGAAACGCGAAAGAAGTCGACGAAGGGAGAGTTGGTTTCAAGTACAAGCGTGACAGACTGAAGTTTTTGCAAGGCAGAGGAAGAAATCGACGTCGAGTTTTCTTCCATGCGAACGAGCGCGAAAGAGCTCACGGATCGGACGTGGGTCTAGGTCGACTTGTTTGTAGTTCGATCGTTACCGTCGATAATTATAAAGTAGATTATTTTAGTCCGTGGAAAAATAATTGATCGCCGGCGATCACGCGCGACCGTGCGTGAAACGCAATGCAGCCGAGCCTGTGTAACATGTCTACACTGTGAAATAAAGGGAATAATAGGAAAATTTCCATTCTCCAGTAACAGGTTCGAGGCAATTACACGCGCGTGTTTTATATATGTAACCATCGAAATTCATCGTTGGGAGTGTATCGTCTTTTGCATACAATAAATCAGTGGGAAACGCATAGAACACGCTTAAATGTGTAATATCGGTATGTAGAGTTACGTGCCATAGGTTGTCGAATATATTAGCGAGGCACAACGACACGTGTGTCATATGACGGTGCATAAATGTTGAGTGATGCAAAGCATCGAATCGCGATTTATTGGAAAAAGTTAGCAATTTTCGCGGAGAATTATTTCTGCCGGGAAACGTGATTAACCCTTTGACTGCGCCGCTCTCGGAGAGACCATCAATACAGACGGCGCGATATTCGCATATCAGTCGCTGCGACTGGTCGTCCACTGACCAAAACGGTATCCGGAGATTTGATACCATTCTTGCGGTTAAAAAAGTAAATAATTGCAAATAAATTAAGAAAAATGTAGAGGGCGTATATTTACGTCTTTCTTAGAGATCTAGCTTCGGCCGGTAGTGCACGGCTCTCGCCTATCTCGTAGCGATACAAATTTGTCTGCAGAGAAATTATTGAAGAGGCGAATAGAAGCGGAAACACGAAATAATAAGGGATCTTTAAATTCGTTCATGTCAATTTTCAGGAACAGCAGGGATTTTCAGAGATTTTCAGGGATTATCGTCAATTTTGCATGTCTTTTTCTGTATTGCAAGTGACTATTAGCCAGCAAGCAGAGGTGTACGTAGATTCCTGACACATTAGTCGCAAGTTCAACAATTTTCATTTATTCGCCAGACGCCGATTGGTGAAATTGCTAACGTTACTATAGTTCAATTCTTTCACCAGACTGTTCAGTTCGACAATGGAAGAGGCTGCGTCTGCATATAAAGAAGCATTTTTGAAAGAAAGCACTCTTACTAAATAACTCACAATTCGGTCAATTTCGGCTGCTTTCACCTGAAAAAAGTGGCGAATATTCTTGAACGAATACGTGTGCCCAAAATCTCCTTGTAAAAAAATCTGAAAGAACTAAGAAACTATGTAACAGAACATCTTTTCGAGCGGTAATTAAACGAAAGAAAAATGACATTTCGCTTTGCACAAAGAAGGAAAATTTTGATATATTCTTAATTCTCAAACTGGTAAATTGGCTGTTACATTTACTACATTACCTATTCATTCTTCAATTCAGCTTCTCTCTCTCCCGTCTCGGTAGGGAAAAACGAAGTTGGGTGATTGAAAAGCGACGTTGCATCACGTTCTAAATATTAATTACATAGTTTACGTACCGAACGAATATTACGGGGATAATGTAACCTCTTCCTTGACACTGGAATTGGTGAATTTGCAACGAGAACGAGGTCTTTTTCTATTAATTAATATCAATCGAGCAATATTCACAAGTTCGGTCGATCCGGTGGCTGCGCCAGTTTCAAAACACTAACAGAGGAGTTGTTTTAAAGTCGAGCAATTTTCATAGTTTGCGTTGAAAGTGAGGCAAAAACAGGTCGATGTGGCCGGATAATTCTACAGGTCGAACCGCCGATATTTCTAGAAATTGCTTGCCCCGAATGAAAGTGAATAGAACGCAGAGAACAGTCTGGCGTAGCTGAATTTGCATTTCATTTTTTCGTCACAGTTTATTAGAAGCAAGGAAATGGAAATCATTTATTAAAAGTTTCACGCAAATCGACCATTATTCTTTATTCCCCAAGGACGCTGTCTGTATTGTACATTTTGATTCCGGTTCCCAGGAATAGACGACGCTGAGAATATTTGTCGATTGTGTAGAAATCGGTCCTTTCCAATCGATAAATACGAGAAAATAGAAGAAAGAGCAAATAATCGAGGATACGAGCTTTGTGCCGTTCCTGTCGAGAGAAGCTTCGGAAGGAGATCGACCGAGGCGGGAGCGTTACAAGCGAGATAACGGACTTGATTTGCAAAAGTAGCGGGGCAAACACGGAAAGACACTACGTCTGACCGATCGTTAGGAAGCACGCTTTGCGAAAGCACGGTTTATCGAGGCTTGTGACAAATAGGAATTGCATCGTCCCCTGTTCTTGCCCGCTTGTACACCAGTACGTAGTCGATTAGCGGTCTCTAAGCTGTGCACTGGTCGAACTTTGCGTTACCTATATCCACCGCTATCCGTTTATCCCGATAATAACGATCTCCGATTGCACGGCTAGCGATCGCTAACGACGTGTTCCATAGAGGAATCGAACACAAGGTGATTCGCGTGCAGGTGTTCATTTTTTCAAAGGACGACATCTTTGCTGGAAACGAGGCAACGTGAAATGAAATCCTTTCTCTCGGAAAATGTGAGCTGGAAAGTTTCATCAGCGATGAAAACGAGTGTTATTGAAACACCCCGCAGTGCTAATGAACAGGGTGGCGGTATCATTATTCGCGCGACGTTCTATCAATAGCGGTGCACACCCTCGGGCCTGCCGGTGAAGCTCGCTGAACCGTTGAATCGCAGAAATATCACACCGAAAAAGGAGGAAGAAACTCGGTTTCACGTTCACGGGTTTGACAAAGAGAGAGAGAAGAAACGAAGAAAATATGAGGAGAAAGACGAGTTGTCGTGAAAGGCTCAAGGATCCCGGCAATGACGCAAAGTGGCTTAGTACTCCTCGTCGAAGACGCAAGGAATCTCGGCAAAACATCTCTCCAGCTGAAAAGCTGGACGACAGGCGGGAGCTTCCGAAAGTTTCGCTCTCCGAGGTCACGTTCCACCGGTAACCCTTCGGGACGCTATTCGGGCGAGTATCGGGCGAGTATCGGGCGATACTCCGCGACACGTAACTCTCTTCGGTTTCCAACTAATTGCGCAATTACGTGAAATTACGGGTTTTCGTCCATGTGGAGAGCAAGAGTCTCGGTGATTTGAAAGTTCGCGGGCCGAAAGTCCTTCGTGCGCCTCGAAGGCCTTTCCGTCTCTACACTTTTATTGCGTGCAATTCTGCCGTGCCTGCACGCAGATAATACTCTTTGACGCGATGAATTTTTACGTCCGCGGCGGAATGTCGGCCGGTGAAGAAAACATTCTTTCGCGCTCTTTTATCCCGAGATCTGATTTCAGCGGGCCGCGAGAAACGCGCGGGAAGGGACGGAAGATAAATCTGTCGGCGCTGCCTCGTTTGTTTGCCCGTCGGAATTGAAAAATAAGTTTCTCCGAGTTCGATTCGTCCCGAAGGAGAGACGATTGACGTAGAATTTGGAAAAATAACGTACGGGATAGTAAACAAGGAGGTTCGTCAGGTGTGCCAGGGTTAATTTTATGCGAACGATGAGTGTTCAACTGGTTTGGCAGTTTTTGAGTCGCGAGTCGGCCGAAAGACCGTCCGAAATCTTTCGAATAGTAAATCTGCGCCTGAGAAAAAAGTGGGCCAAACCTGGTAATTCGTCTTGATCGTTGCAGCAGGTTTTACTAAGTAGAAGTGACGAGGGAAAAAACTCGAGCAGCCAACCTCTGGCGAAACTTAGACGGTAGTAGATAGTAGGTATATGGAATAGCGTAGGAGATGCATGGAAAACGTTGTCCGCGATTGCTCAACCACTTTTAATAAAATTACATTATTCTCTAATAGCGTATAATTGCGGCGACTATCGGGAGATTATTGCAACAGGATACGAACTAGTCCAAGTCGCGTAGATCTATCGACCATACCTGTCGCATGTCAAACACTCGTAATATCACGTGGCACAATTCCCATGAATGGATTTCAATGGAAAATCGCCGATGGCGCGAATACGAAGGATGTTTCAGCGGGAGAATGTATTTTTAATTATTCAAGGCGAAAGACGCGTGTCTGTAAGATTGATGCAGCGCCGGGGAAGAAGCGTTCGTAACCGGAATGTACGCGATTTCATAGTCTCTTTAATAATCCATAATGCATGCACAACGAGGATATAGAAAATTGTTCGTCTAGCCGATCTACGTTGCGTTAGTTGCTGTTTCGATAATACATAAGCAATGCTTCCCATTGAGAAAATGGGCAATTTATTTCGCGCCGCTGTTTTCCATAAACAGTTGTGCTCGATTATGCCAATGTCGCAAACGTGCCGAATGCGTAAGAAAGCGCGGGAAACCGAAGTTGTTTGTTTTCTTCGAACAATACTGTTTCCCGAGGTATCGCGAAGATTCCACCCTTTTACCGCAAGTTCGGCGCGGCGACGACAGAGGCGATAAACTGAAATAAACTGCTCGACGGGCGATAAAACGAGTCCTTTGACGACGCGATCTGGAATCGTCTAAGACGCGGTATCGCGTAATTTTTCTGCTCGAATTGCCACATTGTGCGCCCTAGATAGCATTCACGACGCGAGCTTAAGAATAGCCGGTGTCGTAACCTTCGAAAGCGGCAAGGTCGGTACAATGCAAAGCAAGCGAGTAACGCTTAACGTTAAATTGCTCGATCAAAATGTTCCTCTCCGCGCCGAATCATCGTAATTACTCGACCCAATTTCCCCCGGGCACGGCTGACGATGAGAAAAACGGGGGGAAATATATAAGAAAACAACAAAGGCGAATTACGCGCGCCAGCGAGATAAATGCATAAATTGCAAAGAGGATGAAGCAACACGCCGTGGATGCGATATTATCATCTAGATTTGCATGCATAATTATTCCTGTAATTTCAAATCTCTTGCGAACTTAAGGACACGCGTGACGTAGAGGTGGACCTCTGGTCGACGCTTTTCCGATACGATTTTCTGCGAAAAAAGGAAGAAAGGAAAAAAGAGGTCCCGTGGAGTCGCGTCGGTTACCGGTGGGGCGTGCACTACAGAACAGAACGCTCTTTAATAAAGCGTTCCTTCAAGAGCGCTGCTCGAATATCGATGGAAAAAGAGATTTGTACAGCGTCGGTGTGTACGTATTGGAAACGATACACCTGAGAGCACGAGAAAACGGTATTCTCGCGAGCAGAGGAACGCTAGAGCACCTTATTTAAATTTCCTAAAGACGTACCGGCGTCAACCACTTCTCGAGATCTCGTCTGAAAGAGAAGTTGGCGCAGAGTTCAGGCGTAACGTGACGATAAAAACGGCATCGTAGAATAAAAAAGTAGCAAAGACGTGTGTTATAAAAACTCGCGAAAGAGCGGATACAGATTGGAAACTCATTGAGCTTCGAAACAGACTGCGGGATAGAAAGAAGGAGCGTAGAAACCGGAATCTATGAACGAGTTTTGAAATCCAGTAGCGACGAGGAAGGAAGGCTAATGATCCTTCCAGCTGGTCATCGGCATCGCCGTAGGGAAAAAGACGACGACAAAGACCGAAAGGTTCTCTCTGCTGATGACTGTACGTGCGTCCTTTCGGGATAGCGAGCTAAAGGACAGCACCACGGTTCCGTCCAGTGGCGACATCTACGCGGAGGAACGACGCAAGTTTGGCTGGCAGTTCGCAGGCGCATTTCCCGGTGCATTCTCTCATTCCAGCCTCGGCTCGAGCGGGGAGCGTCGCGTCATTCCTTCCCCGCGATCCACCGACGGTAGACACCGCTCTTTCTTTCTCTCCGCACACGTAACACACGCACACACGGCGGACGTGAAGAATTGGTGCTCCGTAAGCGGCGGTTACGCACGTTCGCTACTCCAAAAGGCAACAGGCTTCGTTCTACTCCTTCCTTCTTCTTTCTATCTCTCTCTCTTTCTCTCTCCTCCCTGCCGTGATTCTTCTCGTTCGCTCGGTTCTTCCGCTACGCCAACACCACGCATCTCCTCTCCCCACTCTTCGGTGTTCCATCGCTGGGTTCTACTCGGTTCTATCGGTGTTTCGCGTTGGTTCCCCTTCCGTCCGGTGGCAGCGATAAGCAGCGTGCACCAGCGCTGTCAGGGTCGAAGAAAGAAGAGGTCGGGGTCCGTGCCAGCTGTTCGCGACGACGTCGTCCACCGCTTTCTCCTCGCTCTGTCGTTCTCCGTCGCCCTCGTCCGCGGATCCAGAGACTACGGCCTAGACGCAGGCCATGTCGCTGATCGCCGACTGCTTTCGACGCCTCACCGAGACGCCGGCTAAAACCGAGGTAAACAAAGAATCGCTATTGCGGAAGCGCGCATACGCTTTATTCACCGGTATCACTCGCTTTATCTCTTCGACTGTCGCTCCCTTTTTTCGCTTGCTCGTACGCCTCTCGCGATATGTCACAACACGGAATTCGCTTGTTACGCGTTTTAACGACAGCTAGGTGTAAGGACTTTTTGCTTCGTGCGCTTGTGTTAAATATGGAAGTATACAAGCTGGTATCGCTGGTATTCGGTCGGCAGATTTAACGGATGTCTATATTCGTGTTTTTCCTTTTTTTTTTTCATCGACGACGAAGGTGTAATTCGTGCACGTTCTGCTGTCGAACGGTATCGGGATATCGAGCGATCGTATCAACTGTCACACATGTCTGCTCGAGACGTCGAGATTATCGTTCCTGTTATGAATTCAACTTCATCCAATCATTATTCATCGTGTCACACTTGTACGCTCCATGTACCGCTATCTACGTCGTCGACGAGATGTTTGCCAACATTTCTACACGTTTCACCAAAGAATTAATAACATTCGCATGTTTTCGTGGACCCGTGTCGTAACCGGCGGAACTTCCGATTCCGTGTTTGCGTTGCCGAGTGACCGCGATAAACGGCCACCGATCTGGGTCACCGAAGGAAACTGTAACACGCGGCTTTCCGTCGCCGCGACCTTGAATACGATCACCTCAATTATTATGCGTCCAGTTCGTTCGGATTCGCACGAGAGAGAGAGACTTTATCCGGAGATCCAGCCGGGATTTCCCCTCGAATTCATTAGCTTTCCCATCGAGTCGATCCCGCGGAACATTTGCCGCTTAATTTCTCCTCGACGAAGGCCGTGAAAGTTAATTTTCCTTTTACGAGCAGAGATGATACGGAGAGGTTGTGATATTCGAGCTTTGAATTTCAATTTCAATATCCCTTCCTGGTACAACCTTTCTCTCTGTATACTTTCATGCACTCGCTTTAATTCGGATCGAAGTTGGACCGGATGCCTCTTATTGCAGACCGTCTGGTGGAACGAATAAGCGACAAAGACGATAAATCGAGATAACTGACTCAGTCACGAAAGGCGAAATTCGAATGTAGTATCGGTACACGGTTTTTCATACGCTTCTGTAAATCAAAAAGGCCAAGGCCAAAGGACAAAAAGGCCAGAGCACCGAGAGAAATTCTTTCAAGCGATTATTTTTCAGCTGAAGGGCTACAAGGTCACCGACGTGAGCCGCACGCGGAAATTCGGCGTCGCCTGCAGGAGCCTTCAGGAGCTGAAGCGGAAAGCGTGCGCAAAGCTGAACGTGAGTATCGTAAGCGGTGATTAACGCTCGCGGCGTTTATTCAATCGACCGATCGTTCAATTCGAATAGAGAGAAAGAGGGAAATGTTTCTGTCGTAATAAAAGTTGCCGGCTAAAACTGGGTCATAAAAGCCTCACAGCTGATCCATAACACGGCTCCCGGAAAATTCTAACGCCCGGCCATTTCGTCTTCGCGCAAAATCGCTTCGCCGAAAAGAAAAAGCCAACTGAAAAGAACACGTTTAACGTGATTCGGGTTAAATTCCGCCAGGCTCGTGGTTCCGTTTCTAGGGGAAAGTCAGCAATTAAGGGACGCATCTTCTCGAACTGGGTTCGTTAACGTACGACCCAATCAATTTTTCAACATCCCTCCATTCATTCGGCGAGAGGAATCGTAGCGAGAAGTGGTTGACTCGTGAAGTTTCGAGAGGCAAAGTTCGTCAGCATCCGGAGTAAGCCAATTCACCGGCTGTATTTTCCAAACGTGGGAAGAGAGGAATTTCCAAGAGAAGATTCGAATAACGAGATGACAGAAGCGGTTCGACTAATTAGTCCTCGCACAGACGAACGGAGAAAGGGGAAGAGGGAGGATTAAGGTTTACGCGATGTTCGCCAACGTTTCGCGGCTACGTTAATCCGGTTGCGGGTCGACCTTGGAGCTGGATCGCGTTCGCCTGCAGCATGTGCAGCTTTATCGAACCAGCCGGGCCACGGACAAGGAGCAGCCCCAATGTCAAGGTCGTCCGTCTGCTGGACCGAGCGCCGCGCCGGCCAACCGTCTCACCGCGCACGCGGATCTTCCCTTGTTCCAGCTGTCTTCCAGTCGATCTTCCGTTGGAAAACTGGCGTACACCAAGCGTGACTCTGAAAAAAACACATCGATTGCTGCGGCACCGTGCTCGAGCTACTTTCCCCCGGTAACTAGGACAGCTTTTCTCGCGTGAAAAGGACGCTGGAATAAAAATAACGGTTCGGTCGAAGGTTAACCGTCCCTGACTTTGATACGACGTTGGGTCGGTGTTCGTCGTTTTGGCTCGTGGCGCGTGTGTGCTGTGTCTTGAGAACCGATAACGACACTTCTTCGCGACGTAACCTTGCCAGGATGAACGGAACGATCCTCTGTGCTTTCAGGTGACGAACGACCTCGCCGAAGTCAACGTCTTCCTGCTCGATGGTTCGTTGATCGACGAGGAGTACTTCTCCACGCTGGAACCTCAGGTTACGCTGATCCTTGCGAAACCTGGGGAGAAGATATTGAGCGGTTAGTGTGGTTCGTTTACATTTCCATATTTTCTTTGGCAACGGTAGCTCCGAGAAATGTCAAGCTTTGACGCGGTAAGGCGAGCTTTGAAACGAAACAACAGAGGCAAGCTTCGCGAGACTCGACGTTTGCTTACAGACGCGGACCTCTTCTACGACACTTTGAGGCGCGTCAACATCGATTTCCTGACTGCCGGCGACAAGGCGTCCGAGTTCCTCACGGAAAACCTTAAAGCGAAGGTCGCCGTTCTAAATAACGCTTTGAACAAAGACGACTCGAAGACGGTGCTCAGCGACAGAGACGAGCATCCGGAATGGTTTCGCGGATTAGACACCAACTACACCACAAAAGTGAGTATTCGTTCTCTTCGCGATCTCGTTCGCCTCGCGAGAAGGACGACAGGTTTCTCATCTGCGCCTCGTCTAACTTTTCTTCGCAAACATCACGGAGAACCTTGAAATTTATCCGCACAGCACGTGTAGGAAGCGTGGACGACAAATCAATACGAACGCAGATAATTCTGCCGCTGCACAAGTTTCCCCGGAAACTTTCTCCCGGTGATCGAGAGGGCACCGTCAAAGGCAAGTTGACCTCGAACGCGTTAATAAGACGCTCTAGGTCGACGCGAGCTAATGCAACACACAGCCACGTCTACCCTATCTATCTACCCTATCGTCCGATATCGCAACGACTTCCCTTTAATTCAGCCACCTTGCCATTTATCGCCGCTCGAGTTTCGCCCTCGAATCTCTACCCTCGTTGCTTCCGCCATTCCGTGCGATAATTAATTAGTTCGTTATCGCTGCCCTTTTATCGCGTGCTCTTCGACCGTGTATACCTACCCATCTTTTCGTTTACGGTCCATGTTTCACCTAGATGAAACGTACTTACTGACCAATACAGTTCCAACGAACGTGCAATGCCTTCGGCGAGGATAAAGCTGCATTATCCGGACTTTGGAGATAATAATAAATTCGCTTCGTCTTCGACGTTGCGAAATCCCTGTTTCCCGCCCAAATCCCACGCCCAACCTTCGATTTTCTCCACACACACGTTACACCTACACGTATGTATCTATGCTGGATGAAATATCCGGGCTTGCACACCGTGGTTTTCTTTACACCGACGAATACGCGTATCCCACGGCAACCTTCGTTCGTGTCCTTCGTTCTTACTTCCTGTCGTCCTTCCACAGATTCTTAGACTGGTTTCTTGCCGCGGCGTATATACACGTACCCGTGCAGCATCGGTACTATCGAACGCGTGTGTCATTAAACCGACTTTCGTAATACTTCTAATTCGAATTTGATTGTCGGTTATTACCTATTACCTTCACGCAAATGCGTTACGTTTGATTAACACTTTACTACTGGCAGTGGATTGCACGGTGGTTTCGTGTAAATTACCACCCAGTGGACTTTGCCGGCATGATCGGCCTCCCTATCGTGTATTGTAATAGACAATAACGGCAATTCCGTTGGCGATTTGCCGAAAACAATGGCTCTGTTCCGCGCTGATTACAAATCAATTATATTCGCAACGGTACAATATCGGTGTCTAGTGACCCATTTCGATCGGCCGGCTCATATTTACCGCGATGTTCGCTATTTTACGCGCGGAGGCACCTCCGAGAATTAACGGAACAGCACGAAGAAGAGAGTAAGCAGAAAACCGTAGAGTGCGATCGCCCTCTTCCTACGCGAGCCGACTGCGAAAAGTAACGAAACCGTTGTTCCACAGGAGGCGGACGGTACAATATCGGTGTCTAGTGACCCATTTCGATCGGCCGGCTCATATTTACCGCGATGTTCGCTATTTTACGCGTGGAGGCACCTCCGAGAATTAACGGAACAGCACGAAGAAGAGAGTAAGCAGAAAACCGTAGAGTGTGATCGCCCTCTTCCTACGCGAGCCGACTGCGAAAAGTAACGAAACCGTTGTTCCACAGGAGGCGTACATGCATCGCAGATGTCAGGACAGGATACGGGGCTACCTTTACAAGACGATCGATCAGATCAAATCGTCGGACACCTTTTCGAAAGATCCTCGAGCCAGGAAACAGCTGTTGTACGCGATAGCGTTCTTCAAGATGCAACTGAAGGAAGACCATTACTTGGGACATTACTTCGACAGGAGTCGAACAAAGATCGAGGCGTTGGAGGATCGCGACGAACGTGACTCGTCGTCCTGCTACGATCATTGCCCCTGTAGATTGAATCAGTTGGATGGCAGTACGTACTTCCGGTTGTTCGGTACGATGAACCATTCGTGCGTGGACGGCGCGAAGAGGAGCGAGAAAGACTGGAAGGTCGGCACGAAGACCGAGGAGGAGGACGAGGAGGAAGAAAATTGTCCTTACACGATCAAGAGGAAAGGCAGGGAAACCTTGGTCGCGTTGTGCGATCGAAAGGGTGAATTTAGGTGCAACGGCGTCTGGAACGCGGATAAATGCGCTTACGGGGAGAGGCACAGGATCAATCCTTACAGGTCAAGGGAGGAGCTTATTCTCTTCTCCACATGGAACTTCGATCATAAGTAAGAACTTTCTCTGGGATTCGAGAATCTGCGAAAATGTGTTTTCTATCATTTTTGTAGTTAGCCAATTACGCGAGACACAGGTTTGAAATTAGGTGTATTTTTCAGGATCGAAAGGTCCAGGACCCTGATACCGTTGCTTCTGAATCTGTCGTCGCAAGGAATAGCCAACGAGACGGACATCTTCGAGATCTACGAAAATCTGTTCACGGTGAAGAACCTGAGGCTGGTGCACATCGTGTGCCACGACAAAGGCTCGCACAAGTAACTAGTCTCCGCGAAACGAAATACGTAACACGTAGAACGAGCTATGAAACGTAAATGCAACTCTTCGTATGAAACATGTACCTACTTGTAAACCACTGTTGATAGTTTATAGAGTTTAAACGTTTATTAATCGTCGTGTCCGGCGGTGATTCCGTTGCGTCGCGAAGTATTTAACAAGCAATACCGAGATCACGCGAAGTACTCTCTTCCTTCTACGGTAGATTAAGTCGGTCTTTCCTATACTGCAACCGTCGTATTTTCTATTTTCTATTATCGAACGTTTGCTCTGGGGTAAAGAGAGAGACACGCTGAAAAGATATCTGGATCGCCACTCTTGACTCTGTCGGCAAGGCAGAAAGCACGCAGGTCGATAACGGCGAGAGGATTCCTCGAGTGCAACAGATTGACACGGATTTAGAGCACCGTCGACACGGGAACCTTTTTGTAACATGTTTTTAAGAAATCTTTACGTATCCTGAACTACAAACGTATCGTAAAACTTTCTATCGACACTTTGCCGAATGAAAACCAGCGGGGCGAAGTTTCTTCTTCTTCTTCTTCTTCTTCTTTAGCAGAGAAAAACAGAAGATCTTCCCGAGAATCTCGATTTATCGTACAGGGTTGGGCGCAACGGAATAATACGCGGATTAAGGAGAGTTTATCGAGGCGAAACCGGCAAGGATTCGCCCAAGAGACTGCTGCTTGTATCGTTGAGGCTGCGAAACAAAGAGGCTGTCCATCGGGACACGCCTGACTTTAGCACTGGTTAGAAATGTATTCTTTAGAAAGTGTACTCTGTAGGATACGAGTAGCTTTCGAGTAATTTTTGATCCGACTGGTCGACCGAAGACAAAAACCAAAGTTCTGATATATACATATATATATACATATAAATTATAAAGATATATACGTATACATATTCCTTATTTAATTTAGAGAAGAAAAAAAAATATATATATATACACATACATATGGACGTGTGTACAGGATGACGTAATATTTAAATTCTTATTAAAACATGGAACAACGAACAGGGGAATTGCGTTCGTTCGAGACAATCGGTAAAATGTCGAAATGGTGCGTAATTGAATACTTGCCGAGGGGATGAAAATACACGGTGCTCTGTGTGATTAAAGTGAAATTAACTCGATGATTTATAGTTGAACAATTGATTCGACCCAAGTCGAACCAGCGACCCAGAGGAATGTACGACCTTTTTTAACGCGTCGTTCAAACGATCGAAATATTGCCCTCCGTGGGGATAATTCACTCATCCGGTGCACACGCACACGTGACATATAAGTATAATATATACAGAGAGAAAGAAAGAAAAGAGAAATTATGAAACGTTTTAGAGACTTGTGCGATATACCTGAAATCTTACGGAAGGACTCGAATTACGTCTTTTTGACAATTCTTCTTTCGATATGATTTCGATCGGTTCGTTTCCGCGTTCACCGTCACTCGTCACCGATCCGACTCGACTCACTTTTTACAACGTCTGGATCACTATCGACGACGACAAATAACATACAGTTGCTAATTTCGTAGATTCAGTTGCACACTTCCGCTTAGAACGAACTTTCCACCCTTGTTTTTCTCATTCTCCACGAGTTTCGTGTACGAAGTAGTACGCGCTGTTATACAGGGTTTTCGAAGATCACTATGCTTCGAAGTGCGATGTAAAGTTTGCGTCGCTTCTATTCGCGAATTTTCCTTTTCGACGAACATACTGCCAACCACTGTTGCAAGGTTGAATTTCCCCCCCAAAAAGGTGAAGAGAAAAACTGCGCGAGATCGATGAAGCGTCGGACTTCGGTGGCAGTATCGTTCGCCGATGCACGCTTCGCGAAAAATGTCAGCTTTATCGTCGGAGGTTCGCGAAAAGCTTACCAACGAGTAAAGCCTTCGCGGCTGAACGTACGATTTATTGATTTCGCGTGTTACGGCTTGGGAGTTACTTTAATCGGATAAGATTAGCCAGTTTCGGTGTAACCCGTTGTACACTCGGCTGTCTTAAAATTCGCGTGAAACGAAAAAGTTATCGCGCGAGGAGATAGAGTTGCGAACATAGCCGTATTATTATGTCGTCCGGCGAAAAGAGAGTAACCGCTAGTTTAACGTGATACATTTAACGAGAGAAAACGAAAGTGGGAGAAAGATGAATATTTTTGTGAAAAGACCGCGTGAAAAAAATAGACTATCGCGACACTTCCTCGTAGGCTACGTATAAGCATAGTTATTTTTCAATGTAAAACGACTGTGTAGCAACTACTTTAGGCAAAAGTACACGTACACACTCACCGATACACACACACACACACACATATATATGTATATATTTTAGGTACAAGAGAAGAGAGACGTACAAGAGAACAAGAGAGAGTAAGAGAGAAAAAGAAAAAAAAACAGCTCGTCTTTAATTTCTTTCGTTACCATTCCCCCGTTGTTCCCTTGACGCGCGCGTTGCAAATGATGTGCGCGGGAATTAATTGCATCCAGTTAATTACCGGTCGCGTCGAAACGACCGTCGAACTCGTTCGTAACTTCGCGCCGTTAAATTTTACGACCACGGAGCATCGACGATGGAGGAAAGCGTCCGCGTCGTCAAATCTGATACGTCGCTCGATCGATCGATCTGCCGATATATTCCAAAGTATTTTGCCGTTTCGGCTCTTACTTAATCTCGACGATCATTCGGGAAATTTCAACTTTCAACCGAATACCTGACGTCCGCAGAAATGTCCGGAGAACGATGATTAAACATAAATCGGCGGAGAATTTACGAGGACTCGAATGCACGGATGATTCGAGGAATCGCGAGAATACGCGAAGATATTTTCCGGGGGAAATTGAAACTATTCCATGGAAATACGCGTGCAATATGTACGTAGGCACGCTGGCGCGTAAATCAATTACGGCTGGTTAATTAGGAGGGTAATTAAAAGGACGATTACAACGTAAGAACCGTCCGACTCAGTGTCGTTTAATTTAATTGCGCTTCTAAGGTTCGCGCGTTTCTTCCTCCTCGTCCTCCATTCCTCTCTTCCACCCGCTCGTTGTTTCGTAGCCGCGCGTCTCTTTATTCATCCGGCTGTTTGGCATCGGCCGCGTCCCGCCAACTTTTCGCGAAACCTCCATTAACAACGATATTGTTCAAGTTTCGCGCGCCAATTATTATTTTACTGCCTGGAACGTCGGGCTGCGCACTTTTCCTTTCTCTCCCTTCGTTAATTAATCGCAATTACGTTCCCAGGGTTGACGATAAATTACAACAACGCGTACCACCCCTTCCCGTTCGATTTTAATCGTCGCGAGGAAAGACCTCGCTCGTTGCTCGAAACGGGAAACCGTCGCGACGTTAAATTTCCTTCTCCTCTTCCTTTTGTTTCTCCCTTCCTCTTTTAGAAAATGTCAGAGTTTTCGCGGATCACTGGTCTCTCTCTCTTGGAGAATCGAATCACGTCGACGCCATTTCGACGACAGACGTGCTCTTTTGCGCAACGAAGCGACACGATAATGGGTCAATTTCGAATTCACCGAGCAGCCTGAATGAAGCTTAAACTTGGTCCAATTCCCTTCCCTCCCTGCTCGTCGATCCCCCGCGCGCGCGCGCGACAATCGAGATTATTTTCAGTTCTGGTTTCCGTCGCATCGAGGTCGTATGGCCGAGCGGCTCTTCGAAAAAATCACAATGGTGAAAAGCGCGATATGGCCGACGGCGGAACGAAAACGAGTACGAGGGAGTTCGCTCCCCTTTGTTATCTCTCGCAAACCTTTCCGGCGTGTCCCTTTTTTCCAGAATAAAACAAATTTTTTATAGTTCACGCAGAGACACCTAGCGTCGTTTCGAAATGGGAAATTTCCAAGAACGTGTCAGCTGGTCGAATTCGTCTACGGTTCCCCGGACCACCCAGGACTCCAACAGACGATCGTAACGAGAATAAATTTTCGTTTCACGTGTCGGTGAGTTTTCGCGGCTGAGCGATCCTCCATGGGTGACCCTCGGGGTGAAAATTACCCGGCAATATGTTGCCAATCGTAACGAGTCGAAGGGCCAGTCCTTACAAACTTACCGATTTATCGACCTATACGTTAGCCCACTCTCCCGAATAACCTCGTCCCGAAATCCTTCGTCCCTGAATATCCTTCGTTGAGTAATCTATTTAAAAAAGTAAACACCTACGACACCATTAGTTTCACACACGACGAAATAACCTTCCCTCTGTTTATAAACTGGAAAAAAATTCCTCGACAAAAGTGCGATAAACAAGGGCGACCTTGAAGTGTCCTTGGACCCTCCATCGATCCAACCACCATCTCGCATCAGAAAAGGCCACAGCTCGGAGGTCAGCTGATCACTCTACACACCTAACTCCGTCACACCCTTCAAGGACGTGTCCCGCAAAAACGGGCCGTAAAGTTGTGTTTCGCTCGGTTATCGCGAGGAAGCGCGAGTCGAGCCAGCAACAGCCTGGATTAAGGAGGCGAACGGGCGGAATTGGGCACCCTCGGCTGCTCGTGCACCCTCGTCGACTTTACTACCGGCACTAATCACTTGCCAGCGAAACGATTTACTGATTTATCGTTTAATTTCGCGACGATGGCCTCTCGATGCCTCGGCCACGCCACCGGCAGCTACTACACGCGTAAAACTTTCCAAATTCGAGATCCGCTATGCAAGGGTGCAGAGAAAGAGAGAGAGAGAGACAAATAGAGCGGAATTTTCGTTTGAGTAGGGATTAACGATCGACCTAGGAGCAACGCGGAGGCCGAGTCGTTTGGGTATTGTTCCTGAGCACCGGGCGAATGGGATTTTATTGTCGCGTTAAACGCTGGCCCGATTCGTTGTTACGATTCCGGTGTAATGTGCAATTCGGTCTCGTATAACGGATCGTTACAGGAATGCGAACACCCCTTTGAAAGCGCAGGGCTATTTTACGGTATCGACGACGCCGATGAAATTATCGCGGATTCGCAAAATTCATACCGACGCACCGT